GGATTTTGGTGTACCACAAAAAAATCATTTTCTAAAAATTTACTTGAAATTTGTACACAATACACATTGTACAGACATTTTCCCACTAATTTGAATGTTTTTACATACAAACTAAATGAATATAGAATCGGCCCAGAAACGCACCCGGTGGTAAGACTATAGCCTTACGTATTTTGGCACATTTGGCATAAAAAATGCAGTGTGAATTTTAGGTGTAAATTAGATCGTAACTGAGTCTACAGACTGTGCAGGGACATTTTGAAAAGATTTAAGCAAAAATGAACTTGTATTTTCAGTAAAACAAGTCTAAACTTTTGGAAATGAGGATTTTGGTGTACCACAACAAAATCATTTTCTAAAAAATACTTGAAATTTGGATACAATAAACATTGTAGAGACATTTTCCACTAATTTGAATGTTTTACATACAAACTAAATGAATATAGAATCGGCCCAGAAACGCACCCGATGGTAAGACTATAGCCTTACGTATTTTGGCAAATTTGGCATAAAAAATGCAAAGTGAATTTTAGGTGTAAATTAGATCGTAACTGAGTGTCCAGACTGTGCTGGGACATTTTGAAAAGATTTAAACAAAAATAAATTTGTATTTTCAGTAAAAACAAGTCTAAGATTTTTGGAAATGAGGATTTGGTGTACAATAAAACATTATTTTTTAAAAAAATGTGTCAGAATTTGGATACAATACACATTGTACAGACATTTTCCCACAATTTGAATGTTTTCACAAAAAATGAAAGGAATTTAGAAACGGTACAGAACAGCACACGACGGTAAGACTATAGCCTACGTATTTTGGCAAATTTGGCATGAAAATTGCAAAAAAAATCTGAAGTGTAATTTAGATGGTAAGTGATTCTATAGACTGTGCTGGAACATTTTGAAAAGATTTCAGCAAAAATGAACTTGTATTTTCAGTAAAACAAGTCTAAGATTTTTGGAAATGAGGATGTTGGTGTACCACAAAAAAATCATTTCTAAAAATTTACTTGAAATTTGTACACAATACACATTGTAGAGACATTTCCCACTAATTGAATGTTTTACATACAAACTAAATGAATATAGAATCGGCCCAGAAACGCACCCGATGGTAAGACTATAGCCTTACGTATTTGGCACATTTGGCATAAAAATGCAGTGTGAATTTTAGGTGTAAATTAGATCGTAACTGAGTGTCAGACTGTGCTGAGACATTTTGAAAAGATTTTTAAACAAAAATGAACTTGTATTTTCAGTAAAACAAGTCTAAGATTTTGGAAGTGAGGATTTTGGTGTACAATAAAACATTATTTTTTAAAAAATGTGTCAGAATTTGTACACAATACACATTGTAGAGACATTTTCCCACCAATTTGAATGTTTTCACAAAAATGAAAGGAATTAGAAACAGTACAGAACAGCACACGACGGTAAGACTATAGCCTTACGTATTTTGGCAAATTTGGCATAAAAATTGCAAAAAAAATTTGAAGTGTAATTAGATGGTAAGTGATTCTACAGACGGTGCTGGAACATTTTGAAAAGATTTAAGCAAAAATGAACTTGTATTTTCAGTAAAACAAGTCTAAGATTTTTGGAAATGAGGATTTTGGTGTACCACAAAAAAATTATTTTCTAAAAAATTACTTGAAATTTGTACACAATACACATTGTAGAGACATTTTACAACCAATTTGAATGTTTTACATACAAACTAAATGAATATATAATCGGCCCAAAACGCACCCGATGGTAAGACTATAGCCTTACGTATTTTGGCAAATTTGGCATGAAAA